AGACCTCCCAGACATTGCTGCTCCTGCAGAGCCCAGCTCCCGGCCTCGCTGGCTGGCAGCGCGGAGGTGAGAAGGACACAGTGTGAGAGCTGGTGGGGACCCGTCCTCCCCCGTGGTGATCGGCAGAGCCCCAGCATGTCCCTGGGGACCCGAGCCCCAGGCAGAGCGGAGCCACCCCACAGGTACGTGGGGCTGAGTGCGGGACTGCATCCCCCAGCCAGCCCAGCCTCTCTCCGAGCCAGCTGACCTCCCTTCTCCTCTCCCAGCCAAATTCCTCTTTTAGAATAATAAACAGTGCAGCTCAAGAGAAAAGCTCCGGGCCCTGCCGGGCTGGGAATGGCTTGCCCTTGCATCATGGTGTCCGAGAGGGGCAGAGGGAAGGTCTGTAGCTGTGCTGATGGGGAGGAGAGGATGATGAGGGGTATAACGTGGAGATGGAGACTTGGGACTTGACCTTGGAGGCTGCAAGGCGGGAGGCTGTTGCAGAGCTGCAGGGCTGAGTGACAGGCGTGGGAGGTGGTACGTGGCATTGCTGCAGGACCTTCCTGGCCTCCAGGCCTGTGCCAGGATGGGTGGAGGCAAATGGTCCCATGGCTCGAAGATGCTCAGGTCCTGGCCCATCTGTAGGAATCCGAGGGGTCCATGGCTCCCTGCTCACCCGTAGGGCTAGGAGGAGACGGTCCGAGGAAGCTGAGCATTGCGTAAGTGCCCGTGTTTGGGTCTCTGGGTGGCATAACATCTGGGCACCTGCTTTCGGATCATTGAGGGGGGCTGCAACCACCTCAGCTCCTCCTTGTCTGGCACTTATACGGTATGTCTTGCCACTCTTGCTGAGAACAAAGCTGAGATTGAGGAGGGAGACAAGAAGTGCTCTCAAGGCTGGCAGTGAGCTGGGTGCATTTGCATCCCTTGTGAAATGCCTGTGCGCACTCGCGTGTGCAAGCACACGTGTCCCCGAGACAGAGAGAGAAAGGTTTGTCCTTCTGCTTGCGAGGCTCTGCACGCTTCCTGCAGGCTCCAAGCACTCCTCTCGCCCTGGCCAGCGCAGACAAACAAGGGAGAGGTCACCACTCTCTGTGGGACGTTGCCACCCTCCCACTCTGCTTGGGAAGCCTCTCCAAGAGAAATGCCTTTCTGCAAAACCAGCAGATTTATTAAACCCAGCTATGAACACAGGGGAGGCGGCCAGAGGCAGCAGGCGGAGGCTGCAGGACTGTCGCTGAAGCAACACCCATGCGAGCCCAGCACCAGCATGCACCCGTCTCCGCTCCCCGGCTCCAGCACAGCAGCAATTTTCCCCATCAGTGATCCTGCAGAGATCACCAGTGAAGCAAGGGACTCATCCGTGTGGGCAGAGAGAGCCAAGATCTCACCTGCAACAGAGCTAACTGACAGCCACCAGGCTGCACAGGCAGCTAAAAGCTGGACATGAGCTTGGGAAGACCCTAGCAGCTGGCAGGTAGAGATTTGGAGAGAGGGGGAATACAGCCTGGTTTGTGCATGCAGGCAGGGAGAGGTGGAAGGAGAGGATCCCAGTTGTCCTTAGAGCCTTGAACATTGAATAATGGACAAATCACGCACCTCTGTAAAGGAGAATTGGGAAACAAAGCTAATTATTCTCATGGCAGGAGCAGCGAGATTAGGTTTTCCATCCTCCTCCTCTCTCCTGCCGGTTAGTGCTTTCTGAGGGTGGGTGTAGCAAGGTCACATTCATTTACAGTTTGAATTTCATCCTACCTCCCCCCAGCTTTTCCCTGTAAGTGCTCTCATCCCCGTAAGTGCTCTCATCCCCTCTGGCAAACGCAGAAGAGAGAGGGAGTCACGGAGGGGTTTTCTGGAGTGGGGAGAGGGAAGCTGCTGAATAAGCTGGAGACCTGTAAGGATTTGCTGGTAGATCAGACTTTTGTTGAGCCAAAGCGAGAGAATAATAAAAACATCTGACAAGCGCACGTCATTTAAAAAACATTTCCTCCTTAACAACAAGCGGACCAGGAGGCCACTCCAGGGCCAAGAGGCAGCAGAGACGCTCAGTAAGAGACAGTGCCTGGGGCCAGGTCAGCAAGCCCAGATGGCCACTAGCCATCTCCTCGGGCTAGACTCCTTGGGATCTGCCTCAGGAGCAGGTTCCAAATGTCTGGGAGAGGGCAGGAGCTCGGCCCCGGATTGCAGCATGGCTAAGCCATGAAGTTCAGCTCCATGCGGAAGTGTTCCCAAGTTCAGGACTACTGAACTCATTTCGCCTCAGCTTTGTCCAGGCACAGAGGAAGCCTTTCCTCTTACTCTTCCCCTTCTTAGCATCTTCATTTTGCTTTTCCCAAAATACTCATCCCCATACCTATGGGTGCAATGGGGAAGGTTACCTGTCACCCCGTTACATGGGGGACAGACCCCAGTGCTCTTAGGGACCTCTGGTCTCGTCTCTTGGGAGCTGTTGGTATACACCAGGGAGGGATGAAAATGGTTGGTGGAAAGGATTTCTCAAGAAATGTTGATAAAAGGGATTTTTAACTAAAAAGCCCTCTTAAATATTCACTTAAAATATATCTATTTAAAAGTTAAGTACAAGAAACTCAGTTTTTTTGTGGGGTTTCTTTGGGCTTGTTTCATTGAATTGGAAGGAGCAGAAAGTGTGGGAGAGTTGGAGGGGGATCTGCTTTCTAGCAAGTTTTATCTCATTGGGACTGAGGGAAGCGAAAAATTAAGGGGAAAATAGGAAAATGAAAAAAAAAGGGGAAAAAAGGCAAGCGATGGAGCAAAGGCTGGGAGAAAGGCAAGGCCCTGCAGCGGGGGGAGCAGCATTTCAAGCAGAGATGAGCAGGAGTTGACACAACTCCTGGAGCTTCCAGCAAAATCCCTGTTCACCAGCGGCAGATGCTTTAGAAACAGCTTCTTCTGCAGATCCAGCACGAGGGGGAACCGACCACCCTGTCAGGAGGGAAAAACTGGAAACTGGAAAGAGATAGGGGGGTTCTGAGGTGGAGAAGGGGGCTCAGGTGGGGACTTGGGGACCCCCCCCACGCAGGGCGGCTGGGGGAGCCCTCTCTGCTGGCAGTACCGCACTCACCACACTTTGCTTATGGCAGGATTTGGCCGTCAAGCTGTGGAGCCCACCATGCTGTGTCCTGCTCTGAAAGCATCTCTCCAGCTCCTTGTCCTCACCGGTGAGTGCTGCAGCTGGGGTGGTGTCTGCAGGATTGGGCCCTGTGTGGGAACGCTGCCCCAGGGTGCTCACCCCAGGGCAAGGGGGAGGAAAGGGGTTATGGTCTGGGGAGGCACAGCAGTGCACAGCCTGCTCCAGGCGCATCCGTCCCTCCTAATGATTCAGGTCCATCAGCTCATGCTGACTCGATCCTATGGCGAGGTGGGTGTAAAGTCCACACCTGCTTCATGCTGGTGCTGTCTAAATGTATGGCCTTTCCGAGCCTTTGAAGGTGCAACCATGTGGGGGAGGCCCAGGTCACCCCCATTTCCAGCCCCGTCCTCACCAAGGATGCCCCATGGGCTGGTGCAGCAGCATCACAGCTCGTCTCTGTTTCAAAGGCTGCCCCGAATCCCTCCCGAGCCAGCCCCTTGCTCCTCACCACCTGCTGGCACCAGGCAGCACCGGGTGGCACTGAGGGTGCAGCTGCCTGGCAGAAAGGTTGGATGGGGGCAGATATAGTTAAAGCATAAAATAGGGATTTCTCCACCCAGCGTTCCCACAGACAGCCTGGGCAATGTGGAACGTCGCTAAAGCCTGTGATGTCTTATTCCCTTCCCAGTGAGGGGTTCAGGGGGTACACTGAATGAAGGGTGACCCACCAAGGTCGGGATTGACAGGACATTTCTGAGGAGAGAATGTGGTCAGCGGTGGCTACACCAAGGAGGAAGAATACAGGAGTTATTTTTCAGTGTAAAGGCTGACACCGTGAACCAAATATATCGGCATGAGGTTATGATCCAGTGCGCTTCTCCTTGGATTTCAGAGGAATCCTATTTGCTCTCATCTTCCTCCTCTTCCAGGTCTGCTGGAGGTAACGTCTGGCAGCGGAGGGCTGCACATCAAACCCAGAGATGCTGAGCTCGTCCTAGACCTCCACAGTACCTTTTCCCTCTTGTGCTATGGAGACCGAGCGTTGGTCTGGGAACGGGAGGGTCAGCCCCTTGCTGCCTCGCTGGAGCACAGGGACAACGTCTTTGTCAGCAATCTCACTCTCAGGAACGTGACGGGCCGTCACACCGGGGAGTACACATGCACCTACAGCCCTGACCAGGCTCCAGAGCCCATGGAGAGGAAAGCCCTGTACATCTACGTTCCAGGTAGGGGACAGCATGTCCTTGTCTCTGCATTTCCACGGGGTTTAGCAACCAAGAGAAAGAGGACTTTGAATCATCATTCTATCTCCAAGCACCTGGCCTCCTAAAATCCTTCCTTCCATTGCAGGAGAGCCCTCATGGCAGGGTCATCTGGCTGCAGCATGTCTCTGGTGTGCCAGGTCATGGAGAGACCCCTGTGTGGTGTGTTGGGACAAGTGGTGGAGGATGCAATAGTGCTAGGTGGAAATGTCTGGGTATCTCTCACCTCCTGGGAGAGGTTTGGCAAGCCCAGGACATGGCAGCTCTACTTTGCCATGGGGAGTAAGGAAAGAAGCATCCCACCAGTCTGGAGACAGAGCTCTATGTTGGAGCTGTCCTGGAGCAGCACAGAACAGTCCTGGTTCAGCTTCAAGCAGCTTTCTGTAACCACTGTTCCCTCTCTCCCACAGATCCCTCCCTAGTCTTCCTCCCCACAATCACCTCTGAAGAGCTCTTCATCTTCATCACCGGCTACACAGAGGCTATCATCCCCTGCCGTGTGACCAACCCGCAGATGCAGGTCACCCTCTATGAGAAAAAGGTGGAGAACCCCATCCCAGCTGTTTATGACCCACAACAGGGATTCAAAGGCTTTTTTGAAGACAAGACTTATTTCTGCCGGACAATCGTGGATGACCAGGAGGTGGATTCAGACACTTTCTATGTCTACAGGATCCAGGGTGAGCTGCCATTGTCTTAGCATACCTGTGCACCTGCTGTGGCAGCTCCTTCAGCCCAATTGCAGGGGACAGCAAAGCTCTCCCTGTCTCCTTAGCAATGCCCCTGATCAATATGGAGGCTGAATTTAGTCCTGTCTCCATTAGAGAACTGGTTTTGCTAAAGTGCCAACCTCATCCCTTAGGGAAGTGACTTTCCAGCGGACCACTCCACCCAGGATAAATGGACTGGGTCCCCACTCATCCCTTCCTTCATTATTCATTCCTCTCTTTCACCTTTCCCACAGTCTCATCTGTGAATGTCTCCATCAGTGCAGTGCAGACCATAGTGCGTCAGGGAGAAAACGTCACCCTGATGTGCACCGTGAGCGGCAATGAGCTGGTCAACTTCAACTGGGATTATCCCCGCAAGCAGGTGAGTGCTCCAGTCTCAGAGGCTCCAGGCAGCAGCTCCAGCCTTCGCCCAGATGTCCCATGGCAATCACTCCTCAGTGTCCTAGGTGACACTTCATAGGAAGCTTCATCCCATGGCAGAAGCTCAGGGATGCTGCTGCTGCCACACAGGGAAGTTTGATAGGGAGATCCTTGGATTAAGGCTGTCTGTCGCAGTGGCTTCTGATCTGTGCATGTTCCCTGTCCCTGTTGCAGCCAGACTGGGGTCCTCTACTCCCTCCTCCTCCCTCCCTGTGAGCCTGGCTCTGTAGCTCCAATGGCAGAACACGCTCTTGACTTCTCAGACTGTATCTCCTGTCCCCATTGTGCAGGCAGGGAAGGCTGTGGAGCCAGTGACCGACTTCCTGCCTGGGTCCACCCACGAGATCCGCTCCATCCTCGTCATCCAGAACGCAGAGCTGGAGGACAGCGGGACCTACGTCTGCAATGTCTCTGAGGGCTACCATGAGAAAACAGACCGGAAAGACATCACAGTCCGTGTGATCGGTGCGTTGCTGCCCATGCACCCAAAGTCAGCAAACCACATGGGTGTCCAGGCAGGCTGCCCAAGGGTGGCACCCTCTTCTCTCTGCACAGCCTCCAGCCATTTGCTCTCCTCACCTCTGCCCTGAGTAATGACAGCAAAAAGCTAGCCCTCACCCCATGTCGCTCCTGCCCACTTCTTGGCTTCAAAACATCCCAAATCCCTCACCATGGCTTTTGGGACCCTTTAAGACACTTGAGGGTGTGGGTGAGAGCTCTTCTGCACTGTGCAGAGCCAATGTGCTGCAAGGTCAGATTGCCACTTCCCATCTGCCTCTGTCCTCCTTTCATTTACTTTGAGGGAACGTTCCCCATCTCCACATTTAAGACTTTTCCCCACATGCCGCCTACAACCCATGAGCTCCCCTGATCCAAAGAGCAGTTCTGCATCCACAGTCCTCTTGGACATAAGCGTGAAGCCTTGAGGGATGGATCTGGAGTTGCCCTACAATTTCTGGATGTTTGGATGGTTTATTCCAGATTCATGTTTGCCCAAAGAGCTGGAGAGGGGGTTCTTTCTCTCACTGAGCCCTTTTTTCCTCCTTCGTCCTCTCAGAGCATGGCTTCGTGCACTTCCACACCCACCTACCCAGCACGGTGTATGCCGAGGTCCACAAGAGCCACACCATCCAGGTGGAGGTGGAGGCCTACCCGCAACCTAGCATTGTGTGGCTGAAGAACAACAAGACGTTGACCATGGAGAGCAGCAGCGAGTTCGCCATCACCAGCAGGAACCTGTCAGAAACAAGGTGAGGGCCCATCATTCGTCACCGGGGTGCAGGGAGGGGATAATTCACAAAGCAACCTCCAAGTTGCAGCTTGGATGTAGTTGGTGGTTCAGTGTCTTTCCATAAGTGGATTCTGAGCATGCCTCAGATAGGTGGGAGCTGACTGCCTCTGAGCATTGTCAGTCCCCAGGTAACCTTCCCCCACCCATCGCTCTGGGACTGTGTCTCCTCCAGGTACCAGACAGCTCTGGTCCTGGTGCGGGTGAAGCAGGAAGAAGGAGGATTTTACACCATCCGGGCTTCCAATGAGGATGATGAGCAGGAATTGTCCTTCCATCTGCAGATAAATGGTGAGGATGGGTGTGCAGATGTGGGGCTGAGCAGGGTGGGGGCAGTCTCAGGGGATGGATCCATCCTTTGCCGCAGGACCCCCAGGCTGATGCCCTTTCTTCTCTGACTACAGCTCCAGAGTGGTTTTAGTAAATGGAAGAGCATTAAAGCAGGAAACGTGCTCACTTGAAATATTTCACACGTGATATCAGAGCAAGGGAGACAGGGAGGCAGTGCAGACACCAGCAGCTTGGCCTTCATGGCCTAAGGTAGTAGATGCAGAGTCAGGTGGGCAGCTCTGGTGTCCAGCACTCTCCCTTGTGCTCACCTCTGTTCTCTAAGCAACATAAATGTGGACAGATCTCCTTCATGACCTCCTGGAACAGTTCTCTTTTTGCCATTAGGTTTCAAAAATGAAACACGATTGCTGTGATGAGACCTACCTCACTGTCACCTCACCCCTGGGCCATGTTAGGGGTAGAGGGGAATCATGTTCCCCTTCCATCCTGCAGTCAAAGTGGAGGATGAATTCCCATCAGTGTCTCTTGGTTTCAGTGCCAGCCAAAGTGGTAGATCTCAAGGAGAACAGCAGTGCCAGCAGCGGGGAGCAGACTGTAACGTGCTCTGCTGAAGGGATGCCCCAGCCAGAGATCAGCTGGTCTACTTGCAGCGACATCAAATGGTAGGTGGCATGATGGAGCCCAGAGGAACGTCTGGGTTCTCACATTTATTAGAATAATACACTATTATTTTATTGTGTTCTGCTGGCCCACACGTCCAGGCATCCCATGGTGGCATGTGGTCTCAGATGCCTTTATCCTCCCCCGGGCCAGGTGCAGCACCAAGGGGAAGCCCACCCGGCTGCTGGGGAATGAGTCTGCAGAGATCGGTCTGCAGACCAACGCCTCATACCACGCGGAGCTGCAGGTGTACCGTGTGAACAGCACCCTGCAGCTGCATAGGGTGGACGAGCCCCTGCTCCTGAGATGCACTGTGGAAAACTTCCTGGGCACCAGCTCCCAGGACATCACCCTGGTCCCACACGGTGAGCGCTGAGGGAGGTGTTTGAGCTCGTTGTGGGGAGCTAGACTTTTCTCTCCATGCCTCCAGCCTGGAGGCGTTAGGAGCCAGGACTGTCCTTTGATGACTGCAGTCCTCGGTGGCAGGAAGCCTGGGTATTTCTGCCCAAAATGAAGCCTCCTTTGAGTTAAGCAGGAAAGGCTCCTCCAGAAGAAGTCTGGAGCCCAATGTCCGCTGGCCATGGACATCCTCTTCTCACCACTGGCAGGGTCATCCCTTCAGGGAGGCAAGATGAGAGTGCCTGAGCAGGTCCCTGGTGTCTTGTTATTAGCCTGCGGGTCACTAGATGGTGCCACGGACTCGAACATCCGTGTGCTGAGCATCCCAAATCTAAGGAAGGATGGTGTAAACCCAGGCCTGGAGCTGCCAGCTTTTCCCCAAGCAAACTAGTCCTTCTGGCTCCTTGCACCCTCCCATGGCCAAACCTCTCCCAAGGCTGCAAGGACTTCAACAGGCTGTAACAACTCATCACCCTACTATCCCTGGGGTACTGGCCCTGCAAATGCCAGGCAGGTCTGCCCAGGAGGAGAGGACAGGGACTGCCTCCACCCAGAGGAGAGCTTGGGGTCAATGTGCGGGGGGCAAGTGTGTAACAGGACGGGGACAGTGGATAGAGGAGGAAAGGAAAATTGTGCAGGGATGCCTCTGTGCTGCTGTCCCCCCCTTTCCCCAGGTTGTCCAAGCCATGCAGGGCTGGAGAAGTCTAATTGCTATCCCTGTTATCGTTGTAGCCTTGCCGTTCAAAGTGCTCATCATCTCTGTCATCCTGGCCTTGCTGGTCCTCACCGTCATCTCCCTGATCATCCTGATCGTCCTGTGGCAGAAGGTAAAAGAGGAGAGCATTCCCAGGCTGCCACAGTGGTACCCACGTGTCAGGGTGGCTGGGAAGAGCAAAGCTGTGAATTCCTGCGGGCATGGGCTTGATGATGTCCCACCCATGTCAGGGACCATGAGCCTCCATCGGCCTCTGCATCTACCTGGCATCTGTAGGCTAGACGGGGAATGAGGCAATGGTTGCAGGGACAAAAGACTCCCTGATAAAACCCATCCACACCCCCCACACCCTCCCTGACCCTCAGGATCTCAGATATCTCTTTCCCCTTTGCTCCCCTTGCCAGAAACCTCGTTATGAAATCCGCTGGAAGGTGATCGAGTCAGTCAGCTCCGATGGGCACGAGTATATCTACGTGGATCCCATGCAGCTCCCTTACGACTCCAGCTGGGAGGTGCCCAGGGACAAGCTGGTGTTAGGTAATGACTGTACAGGTCCCACTGATGGACCTCTGGGGTCCCGGCTGTCTGGGGATGATATCTTTGAGTTTGAGATCTGCAAAAGAGACCAACCCAGAAAGGGCACAGAGATCCCTGGAGCTACGATGTGGTCCTGGGACAGAGGGACCATCTGGGACCACGGTGGGAAGCCTGCTATCCCCTTTGGCATGAAGCACTGGGTTATTCCTGGCTATCCTCTCTTGTGGCTGGCAGCTCCTTCCCCCGGCCAGATAGAAACCAACCCCAACCCCAAACATCATCGCTCACGTCCACCTCCATGCCCACCAGGATGGCTGCAGTGAGGCTGCTGTGGTTTCAGACAGGACACTTGTCTTTTCCAAACTCCTCTCCTCACGTCTCCTTGAAGGCCACCGCCAACCTTGTCTCCTCACTGTTTCTTTGCAGGACGCACTCTTGGCTCTGGTGCCTTTGGACGCGTGGTGGAGGCAACAGCCCACGGCCTGAGCCATTCGCAGTCCACCATGAAAGTGGCGGTCAAAATGCTCAAGTGTGAGTTGCCCCCATACCATCCCTTTCCCCCATCCCAAAGCTGCAAGGCTGAACAGTGCCCACAAAAAGCTCACCCTGCCACTCACACCGGCTCTCCCCAACAGCCACTGCCCGGAGCAGCGAGAAGCAAGCCCTCATGTCCGAGCTGAAGATCATGAGCCACTTGGGACCTCATCTCAACATTGTCAACTTGCTGGGGGCCTGCACCAAAGGAGGTAGCTGAGCCCTGGGCGCCTTGTCTCCTCTTCTTGCTGTCCTGGGCTGTGCTTAGGAGAGGTGACCTCAGAGAGAATAATTCCTGTTTTCTCGTTCAAAATCGTTCCCCCTTCCCCTAGGGAAGCCTTGGGGGGCTCTGAAAGCCTTTCCTTCCAATCTGGTTGAAACTGAGACAGCATGTTTCTGTTAACCCCCACCTCCCTCCCCAAACACAAATTTCAAATTCCAGAAATGCTTGATACCAGAAAGGTGGTTTTTCCCTCTGGCCCTGCCTAGATGTCCTACAATTCTGTAATGTCCCTGTGGAATGAAATTCACTGCCCCGAGGAGTGAGCAGGGCCAAGGCAGGGCTGACACAGATGCTCTCTCCTACCAGGTCCCATCTATATCATCACTGAGTACTGCCGCTATGGGGACCTGGTGGACTACCTGCACCGCAACAAGCACACCTTCCTGCAGTGCTACGGAGAGAAGGCACGGCGAGAAGCAGAGCTGTACGGGAACACCACTAAGGAGGACCACGTGCAGAGGTACCTGGAAAGCAGCACTCTCCTCCTTCCTGGTGCTACCCTATCCTAGCCCCCATCAATGAGGGGGGCTGGTGCTGCCAGGAAGCATACCCATATTTCCGCCAGACCAGTAAAATAAATGCTGGCCCAGCACTGGGACACAGCTGGCTGCTGTGAGACCAACCCATGTGCCAACCAGCCACCTCCAAACCGCTCCTGGCAGACGAGGAGTTAGTTAGCGGAGGCAATCGGTATGTCCTGGAGGCTGAGTTTGCTAGCACACACGCTGGCTGCTCCATGCCAGCTGGGAATATTCCCTGGCATGGTTAACTTTACTGGCATAACCATAGCTATGCATTGAGTGCAGAGATGAAGGGTTTCCCAGCATGTCTTAACCCTGAGGACCTCAGCTCTGCGTTTTCAGGGTAGATCACATTGCCACTCTGTGTAAGGGACAAGTGCTGGAAAGAGTGCAGTTGCACAAGAGGTGCTACAAGGAAAGGGAAACGGTCCTTTGTCCATTTGCCAGCTGTAAGGGATGCAGGCACAGCAGCGCAGAGAAACAGTCCCATGGGAAGTTAGAAAGCAGCATTTCCTTCCAGCACACCAAACCAATAGTAAAATAGAGCAGTGTTAGGACATCAGCACAGCTGGCCCCAGCACTTTCTGCTTGAAGGCAGCTGAGATCCTCCAAGCACTAAACATGGCCTCCTAAGCCTGTGAGGACGTGCCCCACAACTCTGGCCATGCAGCAGGTTTCTCTTGCCCAGCACCAGCACATGGAAGGCTTCAAGATGCTGTTTCCCAGATGAAATTGTTGTTCACTCAAGGGAGAAGTGCTCAAGGATGCAGGTGTTTGCTGATCCAAAATGGGAAGGTTTAACTGTGCACAGAAGGTTGTGTCCTGCCTGGTCAGTTCAACCTTCTCCAGGCCAGTCCTGGCCAGTCTGGGAACATGCACAGCCAAGGTGAAGGGTTTCGCTGACCCACTCTGCCTTGGGTCTCATGCACTCCTGCTGTGTGGAGCTGCGTGGCCCTGATTTCCCTTCCTGCCCTCCCCAGTGGAGAGCTCATGTGCTGAGCCAAGCCTGTGCTCTGCCAGGCAAGGTGAGCATGAGAAGCTTCAGCCTGTGGGTAAGGACACCTGAAGACCCATGCAGTCCCACAACTCATTCACCCCATCCCTTGTGTCTCCTCCTCTCCTCTTGACCTGACCAGCCTCTTTGCTTCCCCCCACAGCCACCTCTCCTTGTCTGTGGAGAGCGACGGGGGCTACATGGACATGAGCAAGGATGACTCCCTGGATTATGTGCCCATGTCCGACATGAAGGGTGAAGTCAAGTACGCTGACATCGAGTCCTCTAACTACGGCACCCCGTACGAGCTGGACAGCTATTCCCCGTCAGGTAACAGCTCAGCCACAGCGGGAGGGAGAGGTCCTTGCACTTTGGGCGCTGGATGTCTTTGCTTGCAGAGATGGATGGTCCATATTGCAAAGAGTCACTATCAGCAGCGATGGCAGATGTCCTCATGATGGGAGCTCCCAGCTCTGCCTCTTTATCCCTCCACCGGTGGGCAGCCCACAAGTGTGCGGAGTAACACGAACATCCATCTCTCCTTGCCCTCCAGCTCCTGAAAGAACAGACCGGGTGACACTGATAAACGAGTCTCCACTCCTCAGCTACATGGACTTGGTGGGCTTCAGCTTCCAGGTGGCCAATGGGATGGAGTTTCTGGCTTCCAAAAACGTACGTATGCCAGCTGGTCCGTGGTGCCTGCGGCAGTGGAGGCTGGCAATGCTCTGCCGTGTCCTGTGGTCAGTTTCCGCTCATGGTCCTTCTGTCCATACCAACCTCCTCGCAGGAGAAGTGGCCATGCAATTGAAGAGCTGCTGACCACTTCTCTTTGGAAACACAGCCCCGGGGATCAGCGTGACTGTATTTGCACGTGACAGCTAACGCTGGCTTAAATTGAGCTTCAGACCTCAAATTCCCTGCCTGAGCTCCTCCCAAGCCATGTGCAACACAGCTGTGGTGTCATATCATCCCTATTTACCAGGATGACCAAACAGCGATAGCCTCCCTGTGCTAAAGCACCAGGCACTCCACAGCAAAGCTACAACTGCCCATGGACACCCCTGTTGCACCATGTGCTCTGAGCCCCTCAGGCCTAATAAGAAGTGCTTGGGTAGTGGAAATTAAGCCACCATGGAGGACCAGGCTCTGAGATTTCATAAGGTCTGGCTTAGCCCAGGGCAGGCAGTAATATAGTTTGTCTGTATGAAGCATCACACAGGGCAAGGGGTTAGAGACAGGGTAGAGACGACATCAATGATATGTGGAGAGAAATTCCAGGCTCTTTTCCTCCAGCCAGACAGTTTGACCATCAAAAGTGCATGGTCAGTGCTCACCCATGGAGGACAGAAGAGCTGCTCCCAGCTACCAACACCTTCCCACAGTCATGCTTTACAGTGCATAGTATCACTACACAGGCTAGTGGTATCTCACAGGGCCTTGAACAAACCTCAGGGCTGTTCCTGTGGAAAGCATCCAACATGCTGGCAAACCAGGAGGCAAAAGCTAGGCTGGTGTAACTAATGTCTTCAGACTGCTGAGCTGGATTGTCCAAACAGAGATGGAGACATCCCCTCCTTGCCAGCCCATCAGCCTCCTTGCTTGGTCAGGCCCTGGCAATCCCTTCTCTACTGGATCGTTCAAATTGCCCTTGTCAGATTTGTATGCCTGTTGCTGTCACGGGGGTAGCAGTCCAGGTGAGCAGTGAAGATGTGGTAGCTCTGCTAGTGGCTTTGAGCCATGGTTGTCCCTAGAGGTGGAGGAGATGCCTTAGATGCTGCGAGCTGACTCTTATCCCTGCAGTCCCAGAAATGGGCTGGTGCTGGAGCTGGGCTGCTTCCCTGGGCTGTCTGGGGTCCCCTCGCAGTGACAGTGCCCTGCCTCCCCCCTGCAGTGCGTGCATCGGGACCTGGCTGCCAGGAACGTCCTCATCTGCGAGGGGAAGCTGGTGAAGATCTGTGACTTTGGCCTGGCAAGGGACATCATGAGAGATTCCAACTACATCTCCAAAGGCAGCGTGAGTACCTGGAGCCATGCAAGCCCCTTCTTGCCAGGGCTGTGGGCCTGGCACCCCCTATACACTCCCCCTGTGAGTTGCCTGTCCGTCATTGTGCCCAGGGGTGGTAACAGGGCAGGACTCTCAGAAGATGGTGTCAGTGGCCAACGATCCTGCACCTGATGTTCTCTGTGTGCTGTGGAGTAGCAGAATTGCATGCCCATATCTTCCGGGTCCTACAAAAGTCCCTGGGCAGCAGTGGCAGCAAAACTAAGGATTGTCCGAGGTACAGCCCATCGCTGGCAGCAGTGCTGCATCCCCTCTCTGCACGGCACTGAGTCTGCTCCTGAGCTGCAGGCAGGAGGAGTGCAAGGTCAGGCAGCTTGACAGCGCTGCAGTGAGTCACTGGCCACTCTGGGAAGAGGCTCACAGACTTCTGCCCTAACCACGAGACCACAGGGCAAGAGGAAGTATTTTCCTGCGAGTAGCTACTTTCCAGAAAGACGTCTCCAATCTTTCGAGGCAGGAGAGGATGAGGGTGTGACTGGGCTTCCCCAGAACCTCCCCTGTGACTTCAACAACAGCATGTCCTCTCCAGTCCTGGGACATTTGGGAATGTGCAACCCCTAGCAAAGCAGGCCATGTAATTCCTACACAGAGAAACTGAGGCTGGGGGAGCTGAGAGTAGAGCCAGGCCCCTCCAACTCCAATCTTTATCTGCTCTATGAACTAGTTAACTTCTCGCCTGCTTTCTCCCATTTGCATGGGTTGGCAGACAAGTACTCAGTGCCTGGGCAGGGAGACCCTCCTGCAGAGGAGCTGGGTTCTCCAGTCCAGCCTTGGCACGGCTGCTTTTCCTTCCAAAATGGGAAGTGAAAATAGGCCCCTTTGCAATCCTTCCTGGAGATTATTTTGGTATTCATTGTGCAAGCAAATCCCAGGAACAGCACAGCCAATGCGGCATACAAGCTGGTCAAGTGAGGCTCCTTTTCATGTATCACTCTGAGTAAAAGCAGGAAAAAGCTGGATGTGTCCTTCAGCTCTTTTCTAGACATCCCATAGCCCTTTCCAGCCTGGTTGCAGGTTTCCAAAGACTCCCTTCAGGAGGGCTGCGGTCATGTTATGCCAGTCAATGGATTCCCCAAGAACTAGGGATCCAAGAACACCATGATAGTTCACCATGGCAGACAGTGATGGAAATGGATGTAGCACCCCCACCTTTCCTCCTGCCTGCTGAGTTCATCCTCCACAAGGAAAAAGGAAACTGGTCCCTCCAAGGACTGGCTGACAGCAGATGTCAGTGGATGTGTTGGGCTGACAGGCAGCTCTGAAGGGTCTTCTCTGCTTGTAAATCGGATGTCAGGCTCTCACCTGTTGAAACAAGTGTTGTAGATGCAGCTGACTCTCTTCTTGTTCCATTTTTTTCCTCTTAGACCTTCTTACCACTTAAGTGGATGGCTCCAGAGAGCATATTCAACAACCTCTACACCACCCTGAGTGATGTGTGGTCCTTTGGGATTCTTCTCTGGGAGATATTCACTCTAGGTAAATACCCTGGAGATCATGGTGGTGTCCATAGGTCTGATAGCATGTTAGTAGGATCCCTTCCCAAACTGAGACAACAGAAATCCGTTTCTAATCCCCAAGTCCCTACCTTACCAGCATCAGAGTAGCACTTCATTCCCTGTCTCCTTCTTTCCCATGCTGTCGTTGCCACTTGGAAGTTAAATGAAACAGGAAAGGTAAAGAAAAAAGGAAACCTTGGTGTGAAATGCATGCTGGCATGGGGATGGCAGGCAATTCACCAGCCTGATTTCCTGCTCTCCCTTTATGTCCAGGAGGGACTCCATACCCTGAACTGCCTATGAACGAACAGTTCTACAACGCCATCAAACGTGGCTATCGGATGTCCAAACCCACTCACGCCTCTGATGAAATGTAAGTGCTGCCCATACACGTTTGCCCTGGCCCTGCCCTACATGAACTTCAGAAGCATTTCTGCCTCTGTTTTCGCCACCCGCTAACTCACCAGAGTGCTCTCTCTTCCCGCTTGTTAGCTACGATATCATGCAGAAGTGTTGGGAGGAGAAGTTTGAGATCAGGCCGTCCTTCTCACAGCTAGTGGTGCTTATGGGAAACCTCTTGGTGGATTGCTACAGAAAGGTATGTTCAAAGGAGCCTGTGCTGGAGGGACAGAGGAGGTTCAGTGCTCTGTGGAGGATGCTGCCTTGGTTAGGGCCCTCAATTAGGGTTTAGAGACCAATGTTCAGTGCTGCTGTGCCAGAGGATTTTGCTGTGACTAAGGCTACTTTAGTTTGAACAGCCAATTAAAGTGGTTTGGACATCCTGGGGAGATCACCGAGACAACTGGCATCGCCAGACAGGCAGCTGGTATCTCAGCAACTGCGGAAATCAGAACTGGCAGGAGATCAAAAACCTGCCTCCAACTGCTTGGCGTTTCGGAGCGGTGGAGCTGTGCCCCTGATCTCTCCCTTAGGAAATGTTCGTGGCCTGTCTTTGGTGGAGTCAGGGTAGCTGAACCCAGCTGGAAGATGCCAGCCGCTCTAGCAAAAGCCTAGCAGACAGGGAAAGTAAACACAATGCGAGTGTACTTTCTCCATTCACAAGACCTTCCCTCTTCTTTGGTAACCTGCCCTGTGAGAGCAGAGGTACCAGCAGGTGGATGAAGAGTTCATGAAGAGTGACCACCCCGCTGTTGTGCGCACAAGACCCACGATCCCCGGGCTGAACAACACCAGACTCACTCCCAGCTCCCCCACCGGCAGCATCCTCTACACAGCCGTGCACCAGAACGGGGGCGAGAACGATTATATCATCCCTCTTCCCGACCCCAAACCCGAGGCAATCTGCGATCTCCCTCAGGAGGCCTCTATCAGCCGGGCCAGGTAAAAACATTGCTTCTGAATGTTGTCCCATCCCTTGGCTGCCCAGATCTGAAAATGGGGGCCTCAAGAGGAAATGGGGACATTCTGCTATGGGACAGACCAGGGGTGGGTTTACCAGGAAAGAAGGAGGGCGGTGTCATCCCCATGTGAGGTCCTGCAAACTTGCATGAGCCTGCAGGGATGGAGATGAACCAGAGAAGCTGGGACGTGAGCTAAGATAGGGTGTCATGTCACATCCCTGTACAACAGCTGGCACAGCTGGGGACAAGAGACCCCAGTTACAAGGAGTAGGGCACACTGGGGTCCATGGTCTGCAGAACCCAGCTGGCTGTATGTTGTGTTTGAGGGCTGAATAGACCCAAGCAATACTGTCTGTCCTCCTCTGGAAAGCTGCTCAGATAGACTGGGGCTGCCAGGAGATCAATGTGCTTCTCAGCCATTGGGAATCTTCTCTCACTAGGAGACTTGGGACAAGGCACTCATTTCTCTCTCACTTTTGTCTCCCTTCAGCTCTATGCTGAATGAGGCCAACACATCGTCTACAATATCCTGTGACAGCCCTCTGGGCCTCCGGCAGGATGAGGAGCAGGAATCTGACCCACAGCCGGGCTGCCAGGAGCCCACCACAGGGCACCAAGAGGTGGAGGAGAGCTTCCTGTAGTCAGAGCTGGGCTGACTCTGCATCTCCCCATGGCGAGGCCAGCTGAGGGGCTGACCCAGACGTCGCAGAGACCCATGCTTTGCGCTTGTACATCGGGCTATCTCCACCTGTCCCAGCATTCTGCCTTCCTTCCCATCTCCCAGCATCAGGTGGGGAATTAGAGACTTTTCCCATTGCCATCCGCTTCCTCCTTACGAAGAGGTGGCTCAGTGCCAGAAACCTTCCAGATCACTGCCACATCCTCCTCAGTGATCAAACCACTGCAGGAGGGAGACATCTCACAGACCAACATCTTCTTTTCAAGTGGAAGACGTGGGCTGCATTTCCACAAGAGACACCACTTTCTGCATTACTAAGATGATACTACATCTTCTTCCCCCTCCATGCTCTTCAGATGGCAACAAGTTTCATCTCCTCTGCACCAGCACTTCTCTGATGGTTTCAGCACCAGCCACACCGTGGTTCCATGAAATGCCACTGTGATAGATGATTTGCTTGGAGCCCACTGCTGGGGTGTAGAGAACCTGCAACATCAACCTTCAGCTGCTTGAGATCAAGAGTATATGGGGTAGATTCTTCTCCAAGCACATCCAAGTCCAGGAGAGACCAGCCAGCGTCTCAGAGATACTGAATCACTGTTTTCTTTTTTTGACAACTCTTCTATGGTGGATAGAGCACCACAAGCACTAGAGGTACCCATGGCTCTGGGGCACAGCTCTGCACCCACCTAGTAGAGGGGCTGTCATACCCCAAACCCTTTTGTGCCCAGCATGGCACCAGGAGCCCCAAGGGCATGCCAGGACCTCAAAATGCCCTCAAAATGACTCTTGTAGTAGCAAAGAGGGCAGTCCAGTGTTGTTCATGTCGTTTTTGTGGACACTAAGCTAATCATTTTCCATTGAAGATTTAAAGGGAACAAATATATTAATCCACTAGCCAGGGCCAGTATAAGGAAGCAATATGGCTATTCATTAATCCACTGCCACTAAGCCCAGCTCATCTGCTGGGACATCATATAACCCTGCCAGCTGCAAAATCTTTGTGCCTTATCTTTGGGGAGCGAGGGTTCCCTTTTGATAGACTGTTCACCCGAACACCCTTTCTCAGGATGGAATGTCTCACCGGTCCCTCCTGAGCCATAGCGAGACTATAGGGAGCAATAAAGATGCCAGAACACCAGCCCAGGGACATCTCAAAGAGAGAGAAGGAGAGAGGCTGGGAAGCTGTTTGGTCACAGCTATATCTCACACCCTGCCACTTTCTAGGGGCCAGGCACAGCAGCCTGCCAGGTCTGTGGATGAAGTGTCATGGGGAACCAAGCAGAGCAAGAGGAATCAAAGAGGATTCCTCTCTCTTGGAAAGTGTTTTGAAGAACGAAAAGGCAGAGACCTTCCTCCAGCTTCTTGCCTTCTTCCTTACTTATCACAGGTAGGCCTGGAAAAACTTGTGCTCTGAGCTGGGCTTGAATGAGGAGACTCAAAGCAGGAGGAACACCAGGATTTTGAAACCAGTGGTGAGCCCCACCTCTGCAGAGATGAAAGCTGGACCCCAAAAACTACAGGTCTGACACCATAGAAACTAGCAGGGTTTTTTTTTTCTGAAAGGAGTTTTGCCTTGCACAGAGCTCTGTTCGCTGCATGCCTCCCACTCCCAGTAACCCCTTCATTGCCCTACTCTCTGCACATATCTCTGTGCATCCCACAAAAACTGCACAGGCAGGTTTACAAATTCAGAAATTCAATTAGCATCTTGCTGGGCTTCTGCCACCTCAGAGCCACTAAGGAGTTTTTTTTTCAAAATATGAAACTTCTGCCAGAAATCCTCAGCAAAACAGCTTTTGGTTCAAGCTGTCTATAGTTGCGATGCTGCCGTTTATGCAGCTAAAAGAGGAGTAGATGTTTTGTGGGCTAAAGTCCTTGGTAAAATGTGAACATAAGAAATAGCACTTTTATTGGCAGCCAGTGGAGTATATTTTCAGCCCATGTGGTCAGATTCCCCACCATCCATAGGAAACACACTGTGAATGACAAATGTTTTTCCATGCTCTGTTCCTCCTGCTTGTAATGAAGGAGCCATCTTCTGTGGCCATAGCTTATGAAATGATCCTAACCACAGAGAGGCAGTAACTCATGAGATCCTTGGGGTCAGACCACTTTATTTTTCTAACATGTAAGGTGCTTGGTAGGATCCATGTCACTGCAACTTGAGCCCATAGGATGGCACATCAGATCATCCTATTAGACCCTGTCTGCACCAGCTCCATCATTAATTTGTCCTTCTCTATCAAAGGTGACCAGAAGTACTCAGTACTCCAAGTGAGGTCAAATCCAGACCTCGCATAGGGCATTAATAGTTCTGGTCTGTACTGGATTTGATTTGCCTGGTGTAGTTTTGGATAATGTTGGCCTTTTCCCAGCCACAGCATACCTGCAGTTTGGAGTCATCCTCTGACCAATCTAAGCACCTACGTCTTTCTACTCTTCCAGCATTTCTAACCAAGATACTCCCTGCTGTTCCAGACATCGGGTCATCAGCACATGTTGTTAACAAACTGTTAGTTTTGGGCTGGACTGACTAATAAAAATATTACATACTTTGAGCATCAAAAGCAACCCTAGAGAGCTACTTTACTACCTCTGTCCAGTCCAAAGATTTCCTGATCAATTCACCCCTTGTCACCCTCCCCTTGGCCATGTGCTTATTTTCTTCACAAATCCTGTACTAAACTCCATCTCATACAGATTAGTTGCTAATTAAATTACTAATTTCCCACTATCAAATAGTTTCCACAGTCCTGAAAGACAAGATCTATTTCTTCTCCCTGCTGTGGGAACTCAGGTATCCTGTCCTGTTAGCTGGGCATTATCTGCACTTGGATGCCTATTGGATTTTGTCCCATTTGTAGATTTATTGCAAATATTCTTTGCATCAAAACCTGTTCTGGCTGCTGACAGGGTGCTAACCCCACCTCCCTCATCCTTCTTAAAGTAGGTACGTCAGACTCCGTGCAGAATGGTACCGTTCTCCACTCCAGAGAGATGTGACCAAATATTCGCCTTTGGCCCTGTGATTGCAAGGGCCAAGTCTTGCACTTTGTGGTACTTTCCTGTCCTTATTCAACTATTCCCATCATCATTTAGCGCAGGCACGCACACTCGCTGCAGCGAGCAGATCTTCTCAGCCGGGGACAGCCTGGCAGCTGGGCAAAGCCAACATGTTTTGCTGAGCATCCCTGCAACTTTCCTCGAAGAGGGGCTTGGCAGGGTAGAGGCTTACAGCAGCCCCCCCCAACAAGCTCTCTCTGCTCAGGGAACCAGCTCCAGCCCCCTCTTCCTCCCTCTGTGCTGCCAACATTCCAGTCCCTGCGTGGCCTGGCGGGTGAAGGCCAGCAGAAATGGTCAGCTGTTCTGGGCCATAATTTCTCTGGTGAGACTCCGAAGGGAACCGATCCCTCCGGGTTTTTAGTTTCGATGATCGATATTTTTGTTTGGGTGTGGTTTTGTGTTCAGAGGTGGACCCAAACTGAGCCACCCAAAAAGGGACACATGCCCCAGCTTGGGCCCATCTCTAGTGCAATATCTTTTATTCGTAGATTATATTTTACTCTACAGCTGTTACATTGTTATCAGCACCAGTTTATGCATAATCCTACTGCCAGTCACTATTTCATACATACGTAAGCGTATCCCAGAAATTAATGCAACACTCCGGTGTCTCTTTCCACATTTAAGACGCTTCTCAGCCTGATGTGTGCACCGGTTTTAGTCCTTTTGTCCTTCTCGGTTTGAGCATGTCTGGTTGGTTTTTTTAAGTGAGACTGCCACGTTTAGTGTGTGTTTGTGTCGTGTTAAGAAATGTAGAGCACAGCGGACTTTACTTGTAACTAAATTGTCTCTGTTCACCTGCCAAGGGAGCTGTGGCGGAATCCCACGGGGCTGGGAAGGCAGAAGTGCAGTGCAGATGTGCAGCCAGGAGGAAGTCAGGCAGAAGTGAGAAATGGCTCTTCCTCTTCTTCCCAGTCAGGACTCTGGGCTAGGGGAGAGGCAGCACCACAAATAGAGGGTACCGGGCAGTGGGTTAGGTTTTGGCTGTGGGGAAGCTGTGCCTGGGTAAAGCTGAGCAGATCTGGAGAAGGGGATTTCACAGATGTCTCCTTTTGGGGGCTTTTTCTAAAATGAGATGTCAGCTAATGTGCTAAGGAGGCAAAACCCATGCTCCAACATACAAGCGCAAGGAAGGGCTCTGGCCGGGCTCAGTGCTTAGCTCAGATCCCAGGATCAGTGTGGCTGGTTCACAGGGCAAACCACAGGATGTCCCATACGGACAGGAGAGCAGCGGGCTGCCAAGCCAGCCCTGGGGAGCCCAGACACAGCCTGGCTGCACTCCCACTTGGAGAACATGAAGGTTGCCCTTTGGCAGCCCTCGGCAGCCTTTCGGCAGCCTTTGCCCCGGGTGGTTGCACAGGCAGAGAGTAGCCAGGGCAGCTGCAGGTCCCTGCTGGGCGCCGGGCAGCTCCTGGGCCATGCACAGGTCCTTCCCGCAGCAGACCCCAGCCCAGTCTGGACGCTGAGCAGCCAGGACTGACTGTGATGGTGGAGGCACCATGTTGTCTGCAGGACTTGACAAGGGCAGACCAGGTATTTGTTAAAAAATCAGATTTCATGGACCAGCACATGGGTTGCTGGGGTCCCAGCATAAGTTCCATGTTTCACCTGGAGGGCTGAAGTCTCTGGGACATGCCAAGATGGATCCAGTTGGCTTTGGCAAAGGCAGGGGAACTGCTCCAGTGTAGCTGCAGCGGCACTTTGGAGACACAACTCTTGCAGGGGTGGGAGGAGGCAGGAAAGCCAACTTGTGCTGAGAGGCCTGCGGCATTCTATTGTTCCTGTCCTTTCCTCCTTCATGGATTGCACCAGAACTGCAAAGCCTGCCCAAAGCATGCCCTCTGCCCTCTCCCCCTCCTGCTATGCTGGCTTGCTGGCATCATGCGGTTACTCTGCAGCATCCCTGAACAGAAGCAGCACCTGCCTCCATGCTGTCTGTCAGAAACCATCCTGAGGGCAAAGGGAAAAACAGAGTTTGGACTAAGGTACCAAAGAGTTAACATTTTCCTAGGTTTACAGATGTATTTGTAGGATTTGTACTATGTCACATCTATAGCCATGAGATACTATTTTTATGCTGTAAACTTTTACAAATATGTTTTTAAAGAAAGAGTTTAAAAATAAAGGTGTTTTTCTATTTGCAAAGTTCCATCTCTTCCTTCGTTTGCCTGGTTTTGGTTGCTGCCACCTTCTCACACTCAGATGGGGCTGGGAATACAGCTTAAACCATGTCGTTGGTGAAGGCTAAGCATGCTAATACGCTGTGCATGACCCCAACGCTTAGCAAAAGCCAAGCTTGGAGCCAGGCGGAGAGAAGCACAGCAAGGCAACAGCTGAGCCCAGGGATGTGGTAAGGAAAAGGGGCTGCGAACAGGGCAGGATTTGACCTGTCTCTCTGGTAACTGGCCAGCTTGTGGGTCGTGTTGCACTGGGAGGAGGTGGGTAGAGGGTAGGACGCCAGGAACATTTCCCGTGTATATCCCCAGTGCCAGAGTTTTGGGCCAGCAGCCCCAACAGGGCTTGACATGCTCCTTGGAGGCATCGCTGGGTCTGGGCTCAGATCAGGGTAGGGATGCGGGAGCCGTCAGCCTGAACAGTGCTGAGCTGAAGGAGATGGGGAACACCACAGTGCTGTTGATTTTTCCATGTAGTTTAATAGCTCAGGGTGGTGGGAGAGACTAGGGGTAGCAATGGGGCAGGGCACCAGGAGGAGCCACACTGCAGTGCACAGGGCTCCCCATGTCCACTTCTCCTCGGAGCTGGGTTCTCCTCCCCTCCCTCTGGGAGGAGGAATTCACTGATACCCTTTAAAGATGCAAGCCCAAAATACCAGCTCCCCACACGACCACTCCCTTAGGTCCACACATCCACCTAATTTCCTCCTGCTCCCTTCACCTTCCCCCAGTCACCTCTCCAGAAGGGCTGGGGTCCCCCAGTCCCATGGCAGACAGATACCTCCTTAGTCCAGCCCAAAGTTTTCTCCTCTCTCTGGCTCCAATGAAACTGCTCCTCCTGAAAATGACCCCAGGCTGCTGAGTGTTGCTGTTTGCAGCCAGCTCTGAGCCACATGCTCAGACAGCCTGAGGTTGCTGCAAAGAGGGGATTTTGAACCAAGGTTCAAATATATCAATGTTGACCTTGTTTTCAGGCTGCATGGTGCAGCCCCAGTGCAAGTCCCCTCTGACAGCAGTCGTGCCTCTCGCAGCTCCTAGAAACCCCTCTTGTATCCAAAGTCCCAAGGCACCGGCTGCAGCAGGAGACAGGTCCAAGTCCCAGCAAGGCTCCCTTCTCCAGCACGGCCTGTCCCGGGCTTCTGGCTTTGCTCAGTTTGCCAGCGAGGAGATTTGCAGCCTCCCTGACCAGCTCAGGCTGATTCTCCCCAGATATGCTCTGAGTCACCTGGCACAGCTCAGCCATGACAGGCAGACAGGGCATTTTTCTCCAGAAGCTGAATCAGCAGGGAAAAAAAAACACCTCGTCTCCAGAGAGGCTGCAGTAAAAGCTTTGGGGGAAAGCAGGGAGGGGGATTTAGTAGCCCTCAGCCCTGAACCCAGCTGGCTCCCACTGCCCGATCCCTGCCTGCCTGGCAGGACTTTTGCAGGTCGGGATGCACAAGGTCATGGGGCTGGGAACGAGTAGGCAGACATGGAGACTCACAGCAGGGCATTTTCCCCACCCTGAAACAAGTCTCCTCTCCAGTGATGAGAGCACCTCGTTGAAGAGCTCAGGGAAGCAGAGAAATTCAGACTGTGGAGACAAACCCTGGCCTGCTGCAACCAGGATTTTTAGCTGTTTGGGTACCAACAGCTCGCTCAGAGGTGTTTCACATGTGTCCTCAGCAGAGGCAGGCATGACAGCACAGCCAGCTGTACTCAGTGCAGGGGTCCTGTAGAGCTGGAATGGCCCATCCTCGCTCCCAGTGCTCCCAACCAGGGCTCACAGCAGCCCCTCCCTCTCCCCTCTACATCCAGCCTGCAGCCGCCCAGGCACTGAGAAAATCTCATGCTATCTCCCAGCACACCTTCCTGGTCATCAAGGCCTCCACAGTTATCCCTGGGATTTCAATTACTCCAAATAAGGTTTCAGCTCCTCTAGGAGCTGCTTGAGGGTGATGCTCAGAGCATCCTGGGGCTGAGCTGCAGGATTTGGGGTGCAGCCTGCAGGCAGGAAGAGATGGCCACCAGTGAGGGTCAAACCCCGGCAGACAGCTTGTCTCACCAGCCTGAGCATCCCCCAGCCCCAGCTTGGGGACCTGTGTGCACGGGCTGTGACTTGTCATCTATGGACCACTGCCACCAGAGATGCTCTGCAAAGGGCCTCCTCAAAGAGGAGAGAGGCTGAGAGATTGTTTCCCTTCTCTGTACGAGACGTGTCTGGTTTAGTAGTTGTTCACACTGGTGAGTCAGTTCTCTCTGAGCTGGCATTTGTTCCTGGAAAAAAAAAAAAGGCACAAAAAAAACAAACCTAAAAAGAAGAAGGGGGGAAACAAACACGCTTTAAAAAGCCCCTTTGGCTCAAAAGGAGGAAAGAATAATCAGGCAGACATCTCCTGTGGCCCAGCCGCTTGACAGCCCCCTGGCTCTGGGCAGGAGCCCCCAGCACACCACGCTGCCTCTACTTTGTGTTCCTCTTCCCCACATCCTGCCAGGAAAAACTGCTGAGAGGAAATCTTCTCCAGCCAAAAGCTGCCTTTCCTTTTCTCCCGACTCCCTCATGCTCTCCAGCTATCCCTCTGGCCAAAACCAAGAGCTCTGTCCATGTTCCCATGACTCTTAGTCATCTTCAGCACAGTCAGCCATGCTCTCATTTCTTGGCCCCAGGAGCTTGTCTTGCTGGTACCTCTCTAATTGCCACCTTTGGAGAAGCCCATTCCCCTCTGGTTTGCAGAGGCATGAGGGGCACTCCTCTGCCTGGCACCTTTGCGTTGCAAGTGCAGATTCGACAGCCATCTCTGTGCAGACATTTTGGAAAAGCCCATTTCCTTCTGCCTACGTTTTGCAGCCAGTGTCCCTGTCACCTCCCCACCCAAGGGGCTGCAGCTGGGTGCACCCAAGGCAGAGCCCTCCAGCTCACCCCAGGCAGGACCTTCCTCCCCAGCACCGTCAGGTGGTGTCCATAACTTCCCACCCCAGAGCTTCCATGAGCTGTCATGAACTTCTACTGCAGGATGAGGTTATCCAGAGATAGAGCAGAGAGCGAGGGGCACCCTGTGTCTGACTTGACCTGCTAACATCTTGCTGACTTGAGCATCCCTGGGAGAGTTGGTTTCCTTCAAGCATACCCTCACCCCCTGCTTTGGAAGAGGCACAGTCCAAGGGAGGGTTAACGAAGCGCCTAATTACTGCTCCCAGGTGCCTGCCAGGTTGTCAATTAGAAAACAGCTTCAAAAAGCCTCCCCAGAAGAGCAGCAGGAGGGATGGGATGGGAGTTGGTCTTTGCTGTGTGGCTGCTTCATGGTGACAGAGGAGTGCTGAGCCTCAGGCTGAGCTTGGGGGCACTGGGAGAGGAAGGGTCTGTCCCCGTCCCCCAGCCTGGCTGGGGACAGGGAAGGGTCTGCAGGCTGGACCACAGCTCCTGGGGAGAGTAGAGAAGGTGAGCCTGTGCTGGCTGGGAATGACCCTGCCTCTGCATGGTGCTGGAGTGGGGCTTCAGGGCGGCTCTGTGTAGCTACAGGACCCCTCTCTGCACCAGGGATTGTGCTCTTGGTTAAAACAAAATAATCTGTTGTCTTCACAGGTGTTTTCCTGCCCCAGGTGGGAACACCTCTGTGGGCTGGTTGTGGGGTGGTCAGCCATGTGCACCCTCAGCGCCTGCAGTCTGCAAGAGCCATGGGGCCTGAGGTAAAATGGAGTCCCCTGCCATCAAGGCAAGGACCAGTCAGGTTTCTGTGTCTCCAAGGCTCTTGGTTAAAACAAAATAATCTGTTGTCTTCACAGGTGTTTTCCTGCCCCAGGTGGGAACACCTCTGTGGGCTGGTTGTGGGGTGGTCAGCCATGTGCACCCTCAGCGCCTGCAGTCTGCAAGAGCCATGGGGCCTGAGGTAAAATGGAGTCCCCTGCCATCAAGGCAAGGACCAGTCAGGTTTCTGTGTCTCCAAGGGAACCCACACCCTGGCCTGGAGCAGCGGCCCAGGGGCTGCAGCCCTCTGAGGTCTGTGACAGGGGGTGGCCCTGCAGTGGGGTACGTGCATGGCCCCACCTCTGCCGAGGGCGTTTGTCACCAGTCTCAAAACATTGCTTGCTTTTTTTTTTCTCTCCTGTTTCAAAAACAAACAAAAAAAAGGGGAATTTCTTAACTTGTGGTCAAGTCAGAAAGGAGAAGCTCCTGCTGAGGGAGTGCTGCGGACGGTGCCTGTGAGGAGAGGTGCCTACTGCTCCAGAGGATACTTCGGCCGTGTCCCTGCTCCATGCTGGAGGCCCTGCGGTCCCTGGGAACATGAGTCCTGCTCTGCTCCTGCTGCTCAGTGCAGCTGGTGTCTGGCACGGTAGGTCCACCGACCCCTCAAAGCCCTGTGGTGTCTCCATGTTGCTCCGGGGCAGGTTTGGGATGTGGTGAGGGTTTCCTGGTTGTCTGGTGTGAGTGCTTTATCCCTCCTTGGGCAAGGAGGAGCGACAGCCTCGGTGGGGCTGGAGCAGTGCTGAAGTTGGGCTAATGGGCGCTCAGCTCCTGGTGGTGGAGGGTGAAGCTGAGCTCCCAGTCATGCCTACAAAAAGCCTGCTGTGGTCTGGGATGCTCCCTGCTTCTGGAGGCTGCTTCATGAGGCAGGCGC